GATAAGGGTAATTTTGCAGGCCATATGCAGAAGATTTACCCCTCTCTTTCTCTTGATGGTCCCTGGATTGAATGGTAGCCAGGCTAATATCTCAGATATGAAAGTGAAAGCAGGATTACAAAGCCTATAAAATGCTATAAATGTAAATGGACCAGCAAGGTGAAAACTTGCCCTTATGTATAGTACAAACATTTTTGGCCTTTTTTTTTTTTCTTTTTCTTGCAAGATATTGCAGTATATCACAGTGATTTATTCCTTAATGTTAATACTGAATACTTGACTAGCACAGGGCTCAGTGCAATGTAAGTATCACAGGCAGTTTCCATCCCAAGCAGCATGGTGCACCTCCTGGGGACATCACTGCTAATTGCCATCTCTTGGTGCTACTATGTTATATCCTGTAATGAGATTCCAGGGTGAAAAAGTACTTAAAAGGGAAAGATGAGTTTAGAGATCATGGATATATATCCAGAAGTCTGACCTACATTCCCCTGCTCATAATGAACAGGAATATAATGCTTCCATTCTGCAACGCTTCCATTAAATTCTGCATTCAGTGTAGTTTGTAAATGCATCTGCATGCATGAATGTCTCTTGAAGAAAATATTGCACAGTCTTTAGTAAGAGATGAGTCAATTAGAACAGATTTTAGAATAGATATTTCATTAGTGATTTCACTGCAATTAGTTTATCTGAATTTTCAGCTAAAAATCAAACTGAAGAAGGATGGTATTGATTCTTGGCAATATTTTAAAAATATTAAAACTGATAACAAAAGGATTTCTGTTAAATTCTGTTTTGTACCTGGAGAAACAAAAACCTACCAGGAAGCACATCACTTTCAATTAGATTCAACAGGACGTTCCTGTGCGTGGAAGTTGCTCTGCTCTGCCTGCAAAGAGCTCATCTCCTGATTTTGCTCCCTTGAGCTTGTTTTGTGTGACACCTTCCAAACTGAAGGCGCCTTGAACTCTTGGGCAGCACTGACTGTGAGTGGGAGGGAAGAAAACGCTGTCTGTAAGTGCATGGGAGCAGCACGATAAGGGATAACAGTGGTATTGTTCTTTTTTTTTTGGTAATACCATATGGAAAGTGCTAATGGGATCATTCTTTTGTGATGAGTGATAAATATATTAAATACAAATGTTAATAGGCAGCATGAAATTGCTAACAAAGTAGAAAATTACTAATAAGATCCGATGGGCCTCATTTTAATATTGAGAGTGCATCTGGATTTTAGAACCACCGTCCTTCCTGAGTGCACAGAATGTGGTGGGGCAGTAAACAGAGGTGGGTTTGGTGCAGAGATCAGAGATCTGTTTTGAATCCTTACACTGGTAGCCTGTAGCAGCTGGAAAATGAGTGCTACTGTGCTTTAAAATAACCGAAGCAGGGCTCAACGCTTTTAAGAGAAGCATTGGAAATTCCTTTCCTAAAAATGCACCACTCCAAACACAAATGCATTGTGCAGGGGAGAAGCTGAGAGCACAGGCAGAAAGACCAGACAGTGCTGAGAGAGAGAACTGGTAAATGGAGACAAAGGAATGTAAAATACATAGCGAGTAAATTAATTGGATAAACAGTAGGGCCAAGAGGTAAACCAGAACAGAGACCCGTGTCTTGTAATAATGCTTTCAAAACTACTTGGATTAAAGGAGAAAGTAGAGATCAGACAAGCTAATTAAAGTAGATGCCAACCTCAAAGGATAATGTGGACCTTAATTACTTACTTTTACTCTTCCTTCTCTTCTTAACTAAGTGAATTTCCCAGCTGGTGTTTCTGACTTTTGCCAGACAGGAACCAGGCTGAACTTTTCAACAAATGGAACTGGCAAGGTCCTGCTTCTCACCACGTTCATCCTTCCATTTATCCTTAGCTTTTAATTATTTTTCAGCCTGGTCATTTAGCTTCTCCCTTACTGAAAATCACTTAAGGAAATATTTGTGGGCAAGGCAGGGACTGGCTCAGATGCTGTAAGGTCCTGTACTCCTTCCACTAAAGGCAGTGTCCTCTTTCCAACCAGCTTAGGACTCCTCAGCTGCTGGCTTTATCCAAACCGAGGTCCTGTCACTGTGACTCTCATACCCCATCTCAGCAAGATTTTGTGCACTTAACAACATTCACTTTTGGGCTTTGATGTTCTTCCTTGTCGTGGGTCACTTCTAAATTTGGGATCATTTTGGAGGGTTTCCATCCTCCTGGATGCAGTGTCCAAAGGCTCAGGACTGCATTTTTTACCTTCCAACACATTGCAAGTAATAAGTCTATCAGAAAAGCTGAGATGACTTGAAAAGCTTCATCCCAAAAGCAGGAAAAGTAAAAGTTCTATTTTTTTTAATCTCTCATAAGTAATAAAAAAGAAATGTCAGTTTTGTATTTGGTGGTAAAATATCCCTGTAAGTGCAGATGTGATTTGTAGTTCTGGTGGATGGAGACAGGACACCAAAGGGCCTGTGTTGCTATTACAGAGCTCAATAGCTGCTCTATCCTTCTAGATCTCTGGAAAGTGACTGTGGGGCTGCTTGAGGAGCTCTTTAGGGTTGATGTCCTGCTGTTCTCGGAGGGCTTCCTCTTGGTGATCACCCAACTGCAGTCATCCTCTTTTTCCTGACTCTCTAGTCCCCAGTTTTGACAGGAGAATCGAATGAACAGATCCTCTTTCTGTCACTGTAAAGGGGCTGTTAATGATGGTCCCCAGTGATTCCAAGGGAGGTAGATAGGGAGGCACTCGTGCAGGCAGAAATAAAGGTGTGGGGAATGGTGTTTTGAAGCAGAAACAGGAGAATGAAATGAGGACCAAAGTGTGTCCAGGTACAGGTCCAAGGAAATGCATGGTATTGCTGTTTTCATCCATAACTTTCAAAGCTCGATTTAAAAACGTAAGGTAGAAAGTGCTGTAAAAATCCAACAAGATGATTACACCAAAGGGAGGCTATGGCACAGCCATTGCCTATGTCACATTCCAGTTTGAATTTATTTTATAAGACTAAAAGATGCTGAAGAATCACAGCCTCTGTATGGGAGTAAAAGGGGAAATGTATGCCAAGTGTGTCTCAACAAAAAATTACCTCTTCAATGGATTTGTGTTGTAAATGAGTACTCAGTCCACTGATAAGATACAACAAGTTGGAACCGCAGAAATTATTCAAGGAAAGGTGGTGTTTTCCTTTTCTCTCACAACCTGCTAACAGAAGTACTGCTCTGCTCGGGGTAGCAACTATAGCAACAGTAGGATTTCTCTGGGTAGAGGTCAGAGAGTGTAAGCTGTTTTTCACTGCTGATCTGAACATGCCATCTCCACAATTGGCTATTATTGGCGGTGCTGGAAGTCCTTTCCTGTGATTATGTTTAATGTGGGGCTTGAGCAAGGCTGAATAATTAAAGTTGTCAGCAAAAAATGAAGTACTTGTATACCTTTGAGAACAATTTAAAAATCATTTGCAGTCTCATTTTTCTTGAGAAAGTTATTAACAAAAGAACTGTCCACAGGATGGAGGAAAGCAGGCTTTGAGGGTATCTCTGTGTCTTTTCCACTGCACAGAACATTCTTACCAACGGCAGTACTGTGAAAATCCTTGTAACTGAGTTGACAGTATTTCTACAAGTGTGTTGGGGGTGAAAATCAAACAGTCGTCAGCTCAGTAAAAGGGCACAGAGCCACTGGCCAGGCAGAGGGGGTTGCCTGTACTCAGCCATATTTACTCAGTGCCTGGCTTTAGGAGTCAGAGGTACGTGATGGGTTCATGTCTTCGTGTCCATAGCCATGCCATGTTGCTTGCTGTGCTTTCCTGCTTTTCAAAAAGCAGCCTGTGTACCACCGGGTGCAGGTGGTGGGAGGGGTGGCTGACTTTTGTCTCTCAAGTCTTATGAGGAGCAGTTGAGGGGACTGGGGTTGTTCAGTCTGGAGAAGAGGAGGCTCAGAGGAGACCTTACTACTCTACAGCTCCTGAAAGGAGGTTGTGGTGACGTGGGAGTCAGCCTCTTCTGGTTAACGGTGAAAGGACAAGAGGTGATGGGCTCAAGTTGTGCCAGAGAAGGTTTGGGTTGGATATTAGGAAAAACTTCTGCTCAGAATGATGAAGTATTGGAGCAGACTGCCCAGAGAGGTGGTGGAGTCACCATCCCTCGAGATGTTCAAGAGCAGCAGAGATGGCACTGAGGGACGTGGGTCAGTGGGCAATATTTGTGATAGGTGGGCAGTTGGACTAGATGATCTTTGAGGTCTTTTCCAACCTTAATGATTGCATGATGCTAAGGTGCTCTTGCTCGATGAACAGAGTTTCCCATTTGTACTTCAATGTGCTTTTCCTGTTGTGCTGTGAATACAGCTATTCTCAGTTTTTTGGGGATGTGCTCCTGTGAATATCCAGCTTTCTCTGCAGCCTCAGTGATGATGCTTGAGATTAAACTTTGAACTACACCTGCTCCAGACACAGCATTCAGGAGGAAACAAAAGCCGTGTCAGTTTCCCTGCTGATCTTTCTGTACATGTTGCAGCAGGTGTGTTTATACAGCCTGGGCTGTGGGTTTGCTTTAACAGTGCTTGGCATCAATGTCGGGCTGTGGCACTGACTGTCTTGCAGATCACTGGGATCTCACCGCCACTCACTGCTCTCATTTGCAGAGAGGGGGATGCACATGCAGCTTTTTGGGCATGCCATAACATAACCTCGATAGAGAAGCACTTCTCTGAGGTTCCTTGCTATCACCAATTGGTGCTCCAAGAATTCAAAATTTCAGCCTTTATATCAGCACAGTGCACAGTTCGTGTTACAGTTTCTGGGGATGTGCAATCACAGAGGCTGGCTTTCTGCAAGCACCAGTTTCTCATACCAGTGTTTCAGCAGGGTTGTGTGAAAAATGTACTGCTAACTTGCCAAATACAGGAAAAGATAGCACTGATGCCTTCTGCAGAACATTCTGAGGCTGGAGGGTTCTCGTGGGGCTCTCTGATAGAAATGTTACATTAAGTCATTTTTTCTTTCCATCTGTCTTATAGGATATCTGCATCGTAAAGGAAACACTTGAGCTGTATGCTTCCATACAACATCACATCTCTAGATCACAATGAATTTAAGGACAAACCTTCTCTTCCCTGGGTTGCTTGCATCAAGCTGCGCAAATCCTGATGGCCTTAAGCGTACCTACCTGGTCCCAGTGTGGCTACTCACGGCCTGCGTTGTGCAGGTCTGTACTGAGACATTTAGTTGAACAAAGACATCAGAAAGCTAAATAATGCCTGTCTGCAATTGTGTCCTATGTGAGCATTGCAGCTCAGCAGGAATGCTGGTCTTTGCATGCACAAGTGCCCTGTGGGTATTAGACATCTTTGTGTACCTGCAGAGCCCTGTGCTTCATGTACCCATTCGCTGGAACCCAGCTCTCGTGTGGCCATCAGCACAGGCTGGGGGAGGCTGAGACAATTCCTTCTCTTCAGTTGATGGAAGGAAGCAAATAATTCTCTAGAGCCAGAGCTGCGTGAGGTTGCCCCTTGTGTTGGAAACTTGTTTTTATCTGTGCTGAGTTTGGGAAGTGATTGCATGCTCAGAGATTGAGGTGGATTTCATTGCCAGCCTGTTTATGTTTGTGTACAACATGGAACAGTTTAATGTTTGCTTTTTTGTGAGGTTCAAGTGTCTGCTTTTAATCAGATTGCCTGCAAGCATTTGGATTTGCTCTTGCATATGGTAACCAAGTTCCATATGAGAACTTGTGCCTTCTAGGGGTCCCATTCCTCCAAGGCAGGCACACTGCAAGCTGCTTTTCTCTTTTCTCCCAGTTTGGGCCTGGGGTTTTATTCCACAATACCCACTATGTATATACTTTATACAGTCTTGGTACAAATAAACGTGCACATATGGAGTGAAGCTCCTGGCAGGGTGGTGCAGGCATGGAAGAGGCTGTTGTTCTGGGGATAAATATGTCCTGTGGACGTGGCACAGAGCAGCCTGCAGCTGCTTCCCGAAGGCTCTTGACTTTCATATGTGATCATTTTAGCTCATGAGTTCTGCTCTCTTCTCTCCTCTCTCCACCATTCCTCATGTGCTATTATTGTGCTCATTTAGCTTGTTGAGACCTTACAGCAAAGTCTACTTCCATACAGATGTAAAGTATGTTATATGAATTTAGGTTACGTTTTACCTGACACAGTGCAGCAGTCACTGACTGACTCCGTATCTATCCGTATCTATCTGGATTGTTAGCAGTGTCTTCAAGGCCACCCTGCCTCCTAGGCTGGCACTTCTAGAGCATTTGGGTCTGCACTTTACCTTGGACTTGTCCTCAGTGCACAGATGCCATAGCACTGCCTATGCAATGGAAACACTGCTCCTGGCTTCACCCCTTTCTTTCTCTGGGGCATTTTCACCATCTTGGAGATCAGTGCAAGCTGCTGATTGATACATTGTTAGGAACTGCTAAATAAAGCTTTCATTCTTGAAAAAGGACATAATTTACTTCTCTTTTTCTGCTTTGATTTCTTGTTTGGTACAACTTATTTTACCTCCTCTTGGCAATGAGCTGTTGCTGGGTTTTGCATACAGATGTGTATTCATATTGCATTGCTGCTCTGTGCTGCATCCCTGCAAGGGAGTCTGCTTGCTACTGGGATGGCAGATGCACAGAGCATTCAGGTAAGGAAGATTCATCCTCCTGCTGTAGGAGTTCCTCAAAATGGCAGAAAATCAAGGCAATAAATCAAGTGCATACATATTAGCATCAAAGCCTAAACTGCAGGGCAGGAGGAAAGGCCACATATTGTTAAATCTCCCATTATTTATTGCTTTATCAGGCAGAGGTATTATTACACTGTAAAGGATATATATGTTTCCCATCACAAGGAGGTAGGAACTGCACAGCAGAAGCAAATTAGGATATAATTCGGTGAGATATTCCATCCCACTGGAATGTGGGAAAGATGCCTAGAGATGGGAATTTGTGCTCCTGGTTATTTTTTTTTTTTCCTCTCTGTCTTTTTAGTTACCTAGAAGAGAACAAAAGCTTTACAGCATTACAGTGTTGTTTGAGGAAATGGGGATCAGCTTTTAGTCATAAATAGGGAATGTTTGGGAAAATTGAAAATGGCTGTGAAACATTCCTGGAGAGGTTCAGTGTTACAGAGCTGTGTGCAGTGAGGGTTATGTTTCCATTTGTATTTTAATCTGGACTCTGATGTCTCTGTTCAGTGGTTAAATGGAGAAATATGACAGACTTCTGTAGGTTGAGCTGGTTCTGAAAGATGAGAAGGGGAAAGAAGGAAATAGTCTGCAATTCCCATTTGGCATCAAGAAGGTTTAGTTTTTTCTTGCATTGAAATTAAAATTGTCTTTTTTTTTTTTCTTTTTGTCTTTCATCCTTTCTTAAAACAGAAATTAAACTATATTCCAAAAGGCCTGCTTCAAAACCCAGCGGCAAGGCTAAGGGCCTCAATATCGCCTGTGTTGCCTGAGGGGGAATAGCTGAAGGAAAATGTTCCCATCCTGTTCTCAAGACTGAAAAGCAAAGATGTGCTGGAGACCAATGACAGTAATTGTAAGTACAGCATAAACATATGAACGTTACCCAAATTCCAGGGTGGTGAGCCCTCCACCCATCCACCCGCCCTCCCTCAGCCCAACGTTAGGCCAGGTGGCTAAACACAGTAGTGAGCAGTCGCGTGGAGACATTGCTCCTTGCCATGGGGAAAGCAGATGCATTTGCTTCATGTTAATAACTCACAAGAAGAAAGCTTTCTATATTATTTCCCCCCTCAGAATACAGCTTGGAGAAAGCCACAGCTTTTTGTGGCTTCACATAATGCATGTGGATGTCAGGTCTGGTTGCTGAAGAGCGTGCAGTTAAGTAGGACTTGAGGAAACCAAGCCACGGAAGTTGTTGGGGTTTTAGGGGGCTTTTGTTTTGAACAACAAGCCTTTAAATGTTGGTCAACTTCTTATAAAGCGGCACCAAGTCATTTCCTGCTCCTGTGAGTGGGAAAGCCTCAGGATTCACTGAAGAATGAAAATGGTTGATATTTCTTTATATTCTCTTTCATCCTTTTTATTCAAAAGTGAAAGAATTAAAATAAGTTTTTGTAGTACGAAGAACACGGATTCTACAGATGCACTGTCCTACAAAGGTTCTGCAGTGTGCAGGGTTAGGCCTGGAAGCAGCAGCTCTCTCATGAGAACATCCACAATCAGCTCATGAAAAAGAATGATCTTTTCCCCTGCACTGTGCAGACCCCTAATCTAATTTTGCTCTGCTGGCCTTAGGGGCTGTTTGGCGCCCCTGGGACCATGCAGGAGTTCTGTGGAAGAGGCAGATTTATGCTGTATAGAGGAGTCTCAGCATGTGCGCAGGGGAGGCTGAGCCATTGGACAGAGCAGGGCTACAAGGAAGCATCTTTTCTGGATTTCTTATATTCTCCCACCCAGCAGGAACCCGACCCTGAGGCTCCTGGGGAAAAGTAATATTAAAAGATGTCATTTCCCTTTTGGGAACTTAGTTTTGACTCTGCCCATAAATGGCAAGATTCTGAATCAAAGCTCTTCCCACAGGGAACCAAAGAGTTCAGGGTATTTGTCTATGTCCTTGTCACTAATAAAACCAAATTGACTTTTAAAAATAGCTCTTGTGCCTTATGAAAACAGGCAGGGAGTGATGCAGCAGGCGGGGAATGAGCCTGAGATATGAACGAGCTCAGAAATATTTCTTCATCTGCCACAAGGTTCAGGGAAGATCCCTGACCTCTGCTTCACTGGGTGAAACCTACAGATGTAGCACTCCTACCTGCAACGTGTGCTGGGATGGCCACTCTGAAACTGCACAGGAAAGAAGAACCTGCAGTAAAAGTGCATCACAGCCAGCTGAAAACTCCAGTAACCTGAAGAGTCACTCCCTGTAGTACGGGAGGCTCTTACAAGCAACATATGTAAATGTCCATCAGCAGGGAAGCAGGCTGAGGGAGCTCTTTGGGATGCAGTGAATCCTGTGCTGTGGGATCCACCACCTGTGTTTGCTCATGGGGAAGTTATCTCCTCCCAGGTTACTCCATGGCACGTAGCCAGGCACCTGTTTTTGTCAGCAGGAGAGTTTGCCTCCCCTGTCATGAAGTGATTGCTGCCCAAAGCCAGCTGGGAACCACTGGTGTTTGCGGGTATCTGTAGGACCAAAGCTGCAAACTGGGCCTGGGGCAGCATGACTGCAACCTCCTGAGGAGCTGATCAACTGTAAGTAAGAACTCCCTGGCAAACCTGTCGTTTCTTTCTCATTAGATGTGGGTTTTGTGCCAGGATCTCCTGTCAGGCCCAACACCATATGCATTTCTCAGGGGGGCACTGGGCAGCCTCCTGCCAGCACGGAGAGCCCACAGCAGGAGCTGCAGGAGGCGGCTGCTCTGTCTTTGCTGGCTGTGCCCTGCTGACAATAGCCATCGTGGGGAAAAAAGCAAAATCACTCAGTGTGCTTGGGCAACCTAATTGGGTACTCAATATCTGTGTGACGGGCTGCAGCCACGAGATGCAGATGGGCTGTTGTAGCACTCGGCCCAAATGAAAAAAGATGAACTGCCTAAAAGCTGTGCATCAACTGCACACTGGTGTTGATGGGCATCTGTCAGGTGTGCACCCAGTGTCCTCAAATTAAGGGTCTTGAGAAAGCTCCTGGAGTGCTAGTAGAGGAGTGCTGGAGTGCTAGTAGAGGCTCAAAGTGCAAGAACAGAAAAAGGAAAGGACATACCTGCTGGAACGACCTTGCATAAACCCACTCATCATGCTTCAGCACCTTCATAAGGAATGTCAGTTCAGTGATGTTTCATTTATACGCAGCTAAATGAGTGCTGGTGCCGGTGGGGGCAGCAGAGAGGATGCCATGCTGCAGCACATGGTGTGTGTGAGGGAACTGCAACACCAGCTTGCATTTCCAAAATGTATTCTAAACTGCACCTTTTTTGGAATACAAATGCAATGCTGAAAATCACTGGAAATACAATGGCAGCTGGAAACTCTGAACAGTGACCCACACTTGGCTTGGGTCCTCAGAACCTTTCGCTTTTATCCTCTAATCCATATCTTAAAATTCAGACCAAACTTGGAGCTGCCGATGACAAAATATGAGGCACCCATGTAACTGGTTGGACACACATTTCAGTGCTGAGTGCTCCGTGCTCACTCTTTGAAGTGTTGTCCCCATGTAAGATAGTGTGAGATAATGCCAGCAAGTGACACCACTGAGGCTCTGCACACACGCAGATGCTGTGAGCCAGGTGCTGGCAATTCACCATGCTTGTAATTCTCTAGGGTGGGTCATTAATATTAGATGAAAGCTCAGATAATGAAAAGGGCTTTTGTAGTTAAGAGCATTTTGTTTCATCTGAAGAAACAGTGAGATTCAACGTTACGCTTCATTCTTACTGGCATTCGGTCCTCCTTCAGGCCGTGATGTTATGCAAAGCAAGGGAGCAATCAAATAATCTGAGTTTGCTCAGCTGAGTACATTCTCAGATAGAAAACAAGATTTCCTCCACCCCCAATCTGATCTCTATCGCCTTATACTGGGCATGAAGCCTGCCTTAGTCCAGCACAGGACACAAGGACCACAGCAAATGGGAATAATGCCTAGAGTCTGCTAATTCCTTATTTCTGGAGTAAAAAATTTAAACACAGAAGCACAAGGACTTCAGCACAGCAAACTGATGCAAGGCCATCGTGTCCTGGTGCTGTGCTGCCTGGTGCACAGCTCCCTGCTGTGTTTGGCCATGACAGCACTGTCACTCATCTTTGTTTTGTCAGAATAGTTAAGAAGTCACATATAGTAAGCAAAACTCACAAGCTCCTGTTGAAACCTGTCTGAAAAAGGAATCCTTCTCATCAGTGTATTGACTGCTGTTTCCCTAACATGTATGTGTCAAAATCTGCTTCCAGCTTCCAGGCCTGGCTTTCATGAAATCCAAATGAGAACAGGTCATCTGAGGTTCTCCTTCTACCCCATGTCACCAAACGCCTCTGCAGGGATGAGGTAAGGGAGGCTGCATCCCAGCATGGCCAAAAGTGTTACAGAGAAAATGTTGTGCTGCTCAGCACTGTTCAGCTGAGGTTTGTGTGTACCTGCACAGAGCCCTCAGGCCATCGCAGCACTTGAAGGCTGCAGACTTAGGAATTAATAGAGGAAAAGAAAGACAACTGAAATCCCCCATGCTGTGCTCCTGGCATGCATCTGAGCTGTTTCCACTTGCCCCCTTATTTTTAAGTGCTCAGGATGGGAAAAGGCATGGACATGGTGCCATCATTTCCTACACGATTTGTGCATTCTTTACAGATGCTTCTTGTCAAGTTAAGTGGCTGATGCTGAGGTGTGTACACTGCATGCTGGGGTGTGTAGTGCATGAGACAGGGAGAGATTTATTAAAATTGCATTGCAATTGTACTTTAGAGTGTGTTCTGACTGAAGTTTTATGTGATTTATATCAAATATCAAAAGAAAAAAAAAACAAACAATGGTGCTTTTGCTTGGTATAGCTGCTGGATAATGCTCAGGTTTCTGCAGAGCCACCCAACTGACCACGTAGATCTTATTGTCAGAGGACTCAAACTGCTGCACTGTTAGTTTCCTCTTTTCATAGGTTTTGGGTTATTTCACTATGTTATATGTTGTTGATTCAGTCAATTTGGCAGATGTCCTAAGTGAATTCCAGTGAGAAGAGGAAGCAGAGGACAGGCCGCAATCGAGCCAAAGCGTCAGGCAAACAGAAATCAGCCTGCTTGTGTGAGAGCTGCACCATCAAGGTTAGTGATACTTTTCTCAGACTAGAGCAGAGAAAAGGAAATCTTAAGTCTTGCAAGTATTCCTCTAATGTGCAACACCATTGCTGGCCAGTTCATGTTTTGTTCTGCTGCACAGGGAAGCTCTGCAGCTGCCCCCCTTTTAAGGGTAGATACAGTGCTGAGTGTCCCTATTCTTTTTCCATGGCATCAGAAGCACAGCAGAACAAGGCAGGCAGCCCTTGCAATGCATGCAGTTTAGGGATTTCCCTCTTAAAAAAACCTCTTCTGAGAGCTCAGGAGTGATGACCTGCTGTCCCAACCAGGTGAAGGCAGCCTCAACATCTTCTTGCAGTCAGCAGAAGGAAGGGAGGGATGGGGGAATTCTGGGCTCCACTGTGGCAGTGCTGTTGTCACACACCCTCAGCCCTGCCTGGTGTGTGGCATGCAGCTGTGCTCGCCAGAGAGTGGGACTGAAAATAAACCAGTGGTACTGCTGCCCTGTTAGGCTCCTGTTGGTACTCCTTGATTTGTTTTGTAGCATCTTCAAGGCTGGATGAAGGCAGGGAGAAAAAAGGTTTTGGTTTTGAGGTTGGGTCAGGAGGCAGCTGGCATAAATCAGTGTCATTTCATTCACTGGATACATGGCATCAAGTTCACTTTGGCACTGATTAACATACACGCAGAGGCATGCTAAATTAAAAAGTATAGCATTTTGCTACTATTTAATGAGTTCTCATATTGAAACCAGTGTAATTTATGTTAATTAGCTAAATGAATGAGCAAACTAATTCAGCACTTATCCACGTAAAAAGAAGGGACTGTGTTGGAGCTCAGAAAGTAGCCCAGCGCTGGCACCCCAGGAGAGAGATGGGAGGTGACCGTGATGGGAGTGCTGCCCAGTGGGTCCTTCTGGGGGCTGCTGCCTGCCCCACCCCTGGCCACGGCCTGCTGCTGATGAGCTCATGTCCTTTTTTATTTTATCTGGAGGCAAAAGTTATTTCTTCTGAAGGGCCAGGGCTGGAGCCAGCTGCTAATAAAAGCAAACCATCAGTGAGCAGCGATGGGAAACCAAGGGATGGTGTGGCAGGCAGGGGCTTGCTTTCAATGCACAAAAAAAAGTCCTTTTAAATTGAAATTCAGCAAGGAATTAAAAGCACATATAGGCGGACTTTATTAGAAAGTGAAACATTTGATCTTGGCTATTAATCTGTTGTAAGAAGACTTTCATTTCCTGGCCATATGTACCCAGCGATAGACGTTCATAAATGAGATCGCATTAAAATCTACTTTATGTTTCTAGTGAAATCTTTTATGCACGGTCTATTTATGAAGAAAAAAAAAAAAAAAAAAAGAAAAACAGAACAATTAGAGAAGCAGACTAAGAGAACTAAATTATTATAGCTCATTAATACGTGAGAGAAATACTGCTCCAGCCTGAAGGCTCTGCACTGTGCAGCACTGAAGTGCCCGAGGCTGTGGCTGCTCCGTGGCTGTGCTGCCAGCTGCTTATGGCAGTGGGAACGTGAGCAGCCCCTGCAAGTGGCTCATGTAGGGTTGGGCTGCAAAGATGCAACTCTTCACAATACCCATACCTGCAGGAACTGACCACAACCTAGCAACACATCTTGTGTCACAAGATTTGGCACTAACAGCTCTTCAACACCTTTGATGTTCTTGGTGTCCAAACCACCATTCTCTTCTCAGGTTAAAGGAATATATTTTTCTTCTATTTTTATTTATTTATAATGCAGGGCTGTGTCATATTCCTGCTGCATTTCAAGCAGCTTTTCATTTCCACTTGGGCAGACTGACAAAAGACCCAGTAGGGACCACAGCAGCACCATTTTGGATCATATTAATGTATTAACAAATATGGGGCTGAGACTCCTCTAGCATGGCATTAGGAACCTGGCATGAAACCACGTAGCTTGAGGGCTGCCCAAAACAAGCCAGGGCTGCCAGGGGAAGGCAGAAATCGTGCTGAAGTGCCAATGTGGCACCACAACAGCCAAGGTCATCCTTTGTGAGAGAATAAGAAATTACCTGTCTGTTTTTGAAGTATAGTAGAACCTCATGAATCTCTCACTTTTTCATCTTTTATGGACTCTTTTTTTAGAAATCAGGCTACAGATTCTTTAGTAATAGATGAAAAAAAGTCAAATATCCAGGCACTGCAAAGAAATCCCTATTGTCAAGGCAATGAAATACCTCATTGCTGTTACACTTGGCTTCTTGTGCTTTCTTACTGGCACCTGATCTGCAAAACAATTTGAGTTGATATTGTGAATTAAGTAAGTGTGCTCTACTCTGTATAAATACTAACGATGATCAGACAGATTAGGCATGGCAGAAGAAAAGAAAACCCAACAAACTGATGACACTGTGATCTCAATGAGACAAAGCTATGTGGTCCATTGAGCTCATGGCTGTGAGCATGGTGCTGCAGACAGATCTTTCCATGATGCATTGGGCTTTTTGTGCATAACCACAAGGAACGTTCAGCTCCTAGCTGAAGTTTGCTAAGAAAGCAAAATGCATGAGCACCTGGTAGCTTGATTTTTTTCTTTTTTCAAGTTAAGGCCGATGACACATTTGGAGACAATTAAAACAAAGGTGGAGCTTTTCAGCTAGGAAAAAAGAAAAAGCAGCATGCTTATGCTATATATAAATAAAACCAGGCTTCAGTACTGAGAGCAGACTGTTTTGTTATTTTTTTCCCTTCTACAGAAAATCTTTTCTTTGTGCCAGGACTAAAATATTAGCACTGTGTTCCCTCCTCTGTTTAAGCAGACCTCATTGCATCTAAGTGCCAAAAAAGTGGAATTCCAGAACAGCAGGTGAAAAGAAAACAGAAGATCAAAAGCTGCTCTGGCTGCCAGGAGAACCTGCAAGCACTGCTTGAGGGTGCATGAAAAAGTCACGCAGACTCCTGATGGTGTCAGAGACTTTTGGAAGGTCATCAAGGATGGGTTTTTTTTCTCAGGCATCCCACATCAAAAAGCAGCACTAGGAGAGAAACTCGCAATGCATCATGAGAAGCCTGTTTTAGATACACCCTGCTTGTAGGAGAATTTAGGTGTTTTCCTCAGCATAACCTATAGAAGCAGCTTTAAGAAACCCATGCTTAGACTGGAGCCTGTTAAGTGCTTATAGCAGGTGGCCATTAAACAATGGCTAATTTGTGTCCTTAACACATGTAGGGGAACTATGGAAGAAGTGTGTCTGTCTGAGCTCATCCTCTCAGCAGAGACAAAGGACAGACTTTGCTGTTCCTGTAACCAGGAGGCCTTCACATTAATTTCTGTTGCTACACACAGCTTCCATTTGTATGTCTGTGACCTTCCTCTTTAGTGATGATGAATGCTTTGGGGATGGATGGGAGAAACGTCAGTGCACTTCATCAGTAGCTGTCTTTAGAAGAGAGAGCTGCAACGGGCTTTTTCTCAATCCCTTTCTACCCCCTCTGTGTCTTGGTTTGTTTGGAAGAGGCCCAACAGCAGTCATCTGTGATTGGCTCAAAAAGTTTGGACCCGTCTCTGGACCTTGTGGGCAGTATTGGGAGCACTGGTGTCCATCTCCTGCCTCCCAGTGCTCTTACTGGTGGTGACATTAGCCCTGACCAGTGCAAGCCATCATCTTGACCAACAGTGAAAGTCTCCTCTATAATTACCATGGCTGCAAAATGGAGCCTAAGAAAAGACTCACTGGGCAGCAATTAGCATCAGCATGGGGATCACAAATCAGTAATGCTTCATTCCATTTTTACTCCTAAATATCAGCAGATAATGAAGTTCTCTTTAAATAAAGACTTCCCTCAGTGAGCTAAAATAACACGTGTACATCCACTCCTAAAGACAGCTTTTTTTTTTTTTATTTTAAAATTCTGCATCTGAAAACACAGTATGACAGAAAGCATTTATATACAACTGCAGTGTTTTTGGTATAATACAGTATTTAGTACATCCATTTCATTTTCTGCAAAAAAATTTGCTTTATTGGACAAAAAAACCAAACTCCCATTGACAAAGAATACAGCTAAGGCACGTTGTTTTCTGCTAAATGAAAGACAAGAGGGTGCAAAAACGGGTAGTGCAATAATTGCTGAAAATCACATTCTACTACAAGAAAAGCATTCTGACTTTGAACTTTGATCACCAGTCAATTTTAAGACATTTCAATATCTCATAAAATACTCCTTTAAATAAATAGCAAAATATCTACATCTTTCAGTGTGTTCCATTTGAATTTCCAATTTTTTTTAAACTTTGCTGTATATACATGTTTTTTTCTCCCTATTCAATAGCTTACAAAATATTTCTGTACAGCTTTATGCATATTATGATCTGTAACAAAATAGTTATTTCTTAAAACTATATTACCACCAGTCTTTGAAAATGACAGAATAGGAATAACTTATTATGGACTATGTTAGGAAATACAAAAATCCAATCAACCCCAAACAAAACCAAAATAACAAAGTCAGAAAAATCATTTAATTAACTCAAATCAGTTATTTTTGTTTCACAATTCTTGCTTGCTGTGTAAACCTTCTCATTTGCCTTTGGGTTGTATATGCATCAGAATACTGAAACAGGGTAGGATATGAGATTCCTAAAAGCACTGCAGCCTGCCGGGAATATTGGTGCTGCTGAAACATGACAGTGTTCCTTGGAGAACAGCAGCAATGAAACCCAACATACCCAAGCCTTAGCAGAAGTTCGTGGCCTCTGCAGACTTGGACAACCTTTGGATAAAGCTCCAGAGGCCAGATTTTTTGGAAGTGCATTTGTAACTTTGATGGTACAGCCAGACTCCTCTGTCTTCTATGCCTCCTGTTAGATTCCCAACCACCACTCAAAATCTGGCCCCTCGTGGTGACGTTCTTCACATTTTAAGACCGTACCGTTAGGAAGCATCTTCTCTCAGTTACAAGTACAAATCTGACACGAATGCTGCTGCGCTCTGCCAAAATGAGTGACGCTGCTCCAGTATTTGTCTCATGCATCTGAGAGCAGTCTGTC